GGGCAGATGGACAGGGCCGAGCCAGAGGGTGGGTGACTCTGGGCCACTTCCCTGACCAAGCACTGCCAGTCATTCTTTCCTGGCCCTGCCTCTCCTCCCCGCCCCAGGCCCTACAGGGTGGTCTCTGGGGTCAGCCCCTGGGGTAATCCGTGGTTTCCCGTGTCAGAGCCTGTCCCGTGGGCCCTCACCTGCTGGGGGATGGCTGTGAGAGGACAAGGACCCCCGTGGCCCTGCCCTTGGCGTCTCTCCACGTCCTACCAGCCCAGCCAGCCATGCCGGGGAGGAGGGGGTCCTCTGCTGCACTGTGCCCTGCGGCAGCCACCTCAAGAATGTCTCGGTTTTGTGGCTGCTGCCAAGGATTGAGCTCCAGGCTTTGCTTAGCGACTGTGCTCCAACCACAGGAGGCAGCCTCAACTCTGGAATAGAGGCACCATGGGCTGCTCAGAGCCCACAGCAGGCAGGGAGAAGAATCTAGTAAAGGGCTCCTGTGGGAACGTTTACCCAGGCAGCAGCAGCCATAACGCAACTTCAGGACCTGAGGGCAGGTCCACCAGGGCCCATTCAAGTCCAGTCAAAGCTGGCAGGGCCTCCCTCCTCTGCCCTGGGCCGTCCCTTCAAAGAGCCTGCACCCCAGGGCAGGCTGGGCACATCACTGGCTGCCAGGGCTAGAAGGATCTTGAAAACCCTCTAGTTGTAGTTCCTTTAGCCTACTGATAAGGTGATGAAGGCCCAGAAACGCAATGCAACTAGTCTAAGGGCACACAGCCAGTTGGGGGCAGGGCCCAAAACAGAACCTTCTGGCTCCTGACCTCAGGCTGCTGCACATCACTGTGCTGTCCCAGCACCCTTTACCAGGCTCCAGTGGGGAAGGACTCCCCACCAGACTTAGGCCCCTGTGGCAGCTTCTTTCTCCTGGTGATCCTGAGTATCAAGGATGTTCAGGATGGGGGGCAGAGGCAGGATCACAGCCTGGCACCCCAGCATCCCAGGCTAGGCAGGAAGAGATGCCCCAGTCCCCACTAGAAGCACCGGGAAAAATCAGGAGCTTCCTTGGGCAAGACCTGTGCCTGTCAGTATGCTGGGGAGCCCATGGGCCATGGCAGGGGAGCCCTGAACCCATCCCATGTGGACGGGACTGTGCTTGAATTGGCCTCCAAGGAACTGATCTGAACTGGGACGGAGTGGATCATGCTTCTTTTCCTTCCTACTCAGCCCAGGCTTCCTTGGACCTCTAGGTACACATGGTTTCCTCCTACTCCCCCCTCCCTGAACCCAGAGAAATTCCACAAATGCAGTCTCCCCTCAGAGCACAGCCAGATTCCCCCGCACTCCCTTCCAAACTGGGAAACCCCTGGAATCAAACTGGGCTCCAGACAAGAAGCCAAGCAGAGGCCTCCCTTGCAGCAGGCTTGGGAGGCCAGGGGAGTCTTGCTTCTGCTCCCAACCATGCGTGACCTTAAGGACAGTTGTATCCCTCTCCGGGTCTCCGCTCCCTGACCTAAAAAAGGAAGGGAGCAGACAAATTGGCTGTTTTCAAGCAGGGTTCCCAGAGCATTAGAGGTTCCATGGAAATACCTCCGTGACTATTGTAGCAGGGAAAGGACTTGGAGTCCTTCACCCCACTTCAGACAGAGGAGATCCACTTCACAGTTGTGTACAATGGGCTCTACATACGGTTTCATTTGACAAAAGAGGCTGCTACAAAGGGCTTGAAAATTACCAGCCTGGGCGAGCACTGAAGTTCCTTCTAGTTTCCGATGATGCCTCATGAAAAAGCCTCGGGGAATCCCTCTTAGACCAGAGTCAAAACACGTCCTTGTCCATTCATTCGTGTGTTCATTCATTCATTTGTCCATTCATCAAAGAGGTTAAAGAGCACCCAGGACTTACTGCTGCCAAGAAAATAGCCTTTGATCACCCAGGGTCTTGCTGCCTCAGTTGCTGCCCCCACCCCCCATGTGCCTTCTGTGCCAAAGCCAACACTGGGGAAGTGACACAGTTCAGGGCTGGTACATAATGGAGGTTCCCTGGACAGTCCTATCAGAGGAGCCACACTCCATGAGGTCCCGCCAGGGTCCCGACAAAGCCCCCCGAGGTTCCTGTGATGGCTTCCCTCGTGCTTCCCCCCCAGCACCCTGGCCACCTGGCTGGGCACGGTCTACCACTGCTGTTGCTGTACCAAGAGGAAGTTGTTTTGCCAAAACAAGACACTTAAGCTAAGTGGCTATTGTTACATCAGCCGGCCTTCCCGCCCAGCACCCAAACCTGGAGCCCCGTATACACACTCCCACACATTCTCATTCACATTTGCCAAGTCACAGGGACAATGCAGGGGGAGGCAGGGAGGGATGGGCCAGGTGGAAGGTTGCCCAGCACCAATGACAACATAAAACACAGAGGTCTCAGGTGAGGGCAGCATCCCTGTAGGGCCAAAGGCCAGGTGCCAAGGGTCCCTCAGGACAATGGGGGTCAAGGGCACAATGACCTGAGCCCATTGGATGGCTATCTTAGGAACCTGCCCAGCCCCTGCAGGGGAGAGTACCTCATCCTGAACCAGCCCTGGGTCTGCCAACCACTCTCTGGTCCACGACCTCTGAGGTCTTTGACTAAGTGAGAACCTGCTCTATTATAAGAAGACTCAGTCTACAAAGGATTGCTGCTTTAGCAGTGGGCCCATCAGTCTTTCTTTAATAAGCATTGCACTTCTGTAAGCATTAAGAATGTGAGGTCTATGGAAAACAACACAAAACACACACTACTATTCAAGAACAAATGCACATGTCCTATCCAGGGTGGCACACCTGCAATCCCATTCCATGTGATTCCAAAGACTGTCATGGAACCAGAAAGGGACCTGGGGGTGGAGCGGGAAGCAATTTGTCCAACCCTCATTTTTGGTAGGTGGAAAAGCTGAGGCATGGAGAGATTTGTCCACATCGTTAGAGGAGTCAGGTCTAGACCCTAGATGATGATAGGAGGAGGAGGAGAAGGAGGAGAAGGAGGAGGAGGAGGATAATCTGAACGCTCTGTGACTCTCTCTCTCTCTGCCAGATGCTATTTAAAAAGGGCCTCATAACTGAAAGTCACTAGGCTAAGGCTCCTTGAAGTTGACACTATCTTTATTCATTTTACAGATGAAGAAACTGAGGTACAAAAAGGTTGATTTGCCCAAAGTCACAGGTGACCTGGAACTTGGTCAGTGTTCTACCCATATCATGCAGCTTCTCCTTCGAAGACAGAGAAGCTTTCTCACCTCCTGTCCAAGGTCCCCCGTGAAGACCCAACCAACTCACACAGGAGCTTCATCAGGCTTAAGCCCCTTGCCCACCATCTTCCTCAATACTTTATAGAGCCAAAGAACCAAAACCACAATGTACATCTGTCTGCCATGAAGCCCTCGGAGAGAAGGCATGGCCATAGACAATCAGTTTCTCCCAATCTCCCCTTAACTGGCCTGAAGAAATCTTCTACAAAGAACCCCAGACAGCTCTCCCTGCCCCGACCCGAGGCTCACTATCTTGAAAGTTCTGCCTTAAACAAGGGGGTGAATTTCAGAATCTTAAATTAGGAAGTAGTGGTTTAGTTCTTTCACTCCAAAGTAAGTTAGGACGGCCTCCCAGAACGAATATGGTGCCCACCACACCACGTAACACTTCTTCCATCAGGGATGAAAAGTCTGCTCCCCACTCTGTGCCCCTCTGGTGACCTTCCATGTTGGTCCCTAATTCTGGAAAGATGAGCATTGTAGGCAGATGTCACCTCCATCACCCTGCCTGGGGACCGGCCTTAACATCCTTTGGACAAATCAGCCCTTCTCCCCATTGTATTTAGAGAACATCAAGTTTAGGCCCCCAGAAAGTCACCAACAAACATGCCCAATGGCTGTGACTGTGAGTTCACCTTCCCCACACCTCAGACAAAACTCTATTCTGCCTTGTGCACTGCCTTTACTGCTCACCAGCAGCTCCAAGGAAGCTAGAGGCCTAGGACCAAATGACTTTGGTGAGGTGGAGACAGGAACCCAGGAGAACAGTGCAGAGGTTGGGAGGGAAGCCTCGGAAAGAAAAGTCAAGAGGGGCCTGGAACAATGGTGGAAAAGATGGTGGTAAAGGTTGCAGAAAAGTATCTGGGGTTCAGAATGGACCACAAGCCACCTATAAGCCAGCACATAGGCTGAGCTGATCCTTCTCAAACCCAGAGCTGCCCCATCCTTCCCAGAGTCTCTGATTCTATTACTTCAGTAAAGAATAAAAGAAGATGGAGAGAAGTAAAAAGCAAGACCTCAGGAGAAGTTAGAGCACAAGAAGAATGTCCCTCAAGAAAAGAAAGCTGAGGCACAGCTGAACAAAATCTTTGGAAGCCTTCGCATCTATAACTGTCTTTTCCACGGATGACATCCTAGCTGCTCTCTGCCACGGCCAAGAACAGAAGAGGAAAGGAACCTGAGTTGTGGCAGAAGGAATTACGCCCAGACATAAGAATCATTTTCCAAGCATAATATCATGAAGCCTGAAAACAAGTGACCAAAGGAGATTGAAAAAAATCCCCTGGAAGATCTTAAAAACACAAAGGAAGTCACATTTTCTAAGATGGTTTAGGAGCCTAGTGAAGGGGTTAGCCAAGGTAACCTCGAAGCCCAGCTAGAATGCTAAGTTCCGGTGATTTCTCAAGCCGGCAAAAGTGATGATCTAACAGCATTAATGCCCTGGCCAGGGTGTTTCACAGGCCACAGAGCAGGAGCCCAACATTCAGGCACAGCCCTGTGGTGCTTCCCGACCAGATCCCAAATCCCATCGGCTCCTCCCCCGGGGCCCCTCCTGGAAATCAGGATAGAAGGAGGCCGAGCAATCCCAATCCCAAGTGGCTTCAAGTGAGAAAAGGCACATTCAACTTCCCCCAAAACCTGAGGCATACAGGTGGCCGGGCCCCACCTATCTTGCAGCCCTGCCCCTGCTTCCCCGGCGCTGGGAAGTTCTGGCCCAAGGCCTGTAACCACTCACCCGGCTGCCGTCCCTTTCCATGGTCTCCCGAGGGGTGAGGCTTCTGGGCTCAGCTGATGTCCACAGGAAGATCCATGTTGGCCCCTGTCTTCCGTGGCATGTGGAGAAAAAGGGGGCTGGAAGGCTGAGGGCCAGCCCCCACCAGATGGGGCGGGGAAGCGGGTTGGGACGTGTGAGGTAATCTCAAGTATAAACAACACCACAGAACTAGCCAGACCTGTCCCTCTCCTCTCCTCCGAGGCCATCCCAGTTACTCAGCGAATACCAAATACCAAATACCGGGAGTGTGAAGTTACCTCTACCCCTGAAACTGCCCCCACAGAGTCAGCTATGAGGAAATGAGGGGTTCCAGAATGCTTCTTTCAGAGGGAGCATTCTCAGAGGAAAAAATCCAGGCCCTGTGAAGACCATCGTAGGCCTGTCAACCTGAGCGCCTCAAACAGATGCTCCAGCGCCCTCTGAGGTGGGTCTGTGTTTCCACAGGGAATGTCCAAGGCCAGGGACCGGGGCCCCACCCAGGGCAGGACGGTGTCATCCTTCATCTCCAAGGACCACGTGTCCAAATCCCCAATCAAGGTACACGGCGTGGCAAAATTTCCATTTTCTGAATGATTTCTACCAAAACTCTTACCAAAGAAATTAAAGTCAAACAACCTCTAATTATGCACATAGTGAATTTCCTCAACTGAAAACAATAAAACATCATGAAACAACACATCAAAAGCCAATTAAAATAAAACATGGAAGTATCTGAATGGAAACCGTTCTAAGAAATAGTGGCTGACTCATGGTCCCCTAGCTACTGCCCATTCTGCGCCTCAGAGTCAGAAGTAAGAAAGGAAGAGCCTCCTCCAAAGGGGGTGCTTAGCACCCCCAACCCCAGCAGAGTTGCTTCTGCGAGGTCTCAGGTGAGCTTTAGGAAGGATTTGTGTGACTGGGCACTTGGGGGCCCAGAGGTCGTGAATGGCAGTCTTCTTAGATTGAAGAAGATTGATTCCTTGAAGGAAGGAATCACAGAGACCATGCAGTGATTCGGTCCTCTCCTTTTACAGATGGAGAAACAGCCTGGGAGCCTGAGGAATCCGCACAAATCAAGGGAACAAACTGCAGTGATGACAATGACAAGGCGCTGGATCTCCTGCCGTATGCTCTACATACAGTAACGCGCGTCATCTTCACAACAATGCTGTTCATCTGTCCCTCGCTCATTCACCCAGCAAATATCCAAGTGCTTCTGATGCACTTGGCACTGCTCTGGGTGCTGGGGACACAGGGACAAAGCAGGCAAATACCCTGCCCCATGGCACTGGCATTGGGGGAGAGGTAGGACCGACAAAAATAAGCAGATAGATGATGATGATGATGATGATGATGATGGCTAGATAGATGACAAAGCAGCATATGAGAAATTGAGAAGTGCTATCAAGAAACATAAAGCAGGGAGGGGGATCGAGAGGGCTGGGAGCAGAGTGACAGTCTGAGACAGGGCGGTCAGGGAGCCCTTCACTGAGGTGACACTTGAGCAAAGACTCAAAGAAAGTGACCACTTTTCTCCCCATTTACATGTGAGAAAACAGAAACTTCTAGCTCAGAATGGAAGCTGTCAGCTCCTGCTTCAGGTGCTGGGAAGGGAAATCTAATCCCTTAATCTAATCCCAAGGCACAAGGATAGAGGTGAGGATGTTTGGAGGGCCCAAATAGGGACCCCGAGGTTCTCCAATCTTGCGTTATTTTTGGTGTCACATTCCTGGCTCCCCAAGAGAGCAGAACTGAGCTGCAGGCCACATCCCCTTCCTGTTGCCTTGACCAACCTGCCATGGCAGAGACCCAGTCCCGAGGAGATGCGTCCTCTTCCCTCTCACCGAGGGACCAGCGGGCCCCCACTCTGGCCACCAGGGAGCTAGGAGGCTTCCCCAAGCCTTGGTGTTCATCACTCCATCCCCCAGCAGACCCCTGGCCTCCCAGGATCACCCTCCAGCATTTTCTCCCACATTTTCCCACCGGGAAATGGGAAGAGCTCAGACTAGGGGTTCTGGGCCAAGGGGAGCAGGCGAAAACCCCGACTCGGAGGTGAAAGCCGACTACAAGAAGTAGGAGGTCTTCAGATGGAACATCTGGGAAGAGGCGATGACAGGTCAGACCAGAGAACCTGTCCGGCACCGGGTGGGCCCTGAAGAAATGTCAGGTTTATGTCTTGCCGTTTCGTCAGAGACAATAGTTGGCCTGTCCCAGCCTCCTTGCTGGCCGAGCCACCGACCCATAAGGAGCCCCGCCAGCCCGGGTTCAGCTCGGTGACCGCTGGCCGCTCAGCACCAGGCCCCACCGCAGCTGCTGGGCGAGGGGCAGTGAGGACCAGAAAGGCGGGGACCCTGCGCGGAGGAGAACACACGGCGTAGGTGTTCAGGCTGGGGCGGAGGTGAAACACTGAGGAATAGAATTCTTTGCTCATAGTTTTCTTATTTCTAGAGGGAAGGGGCTAGGGTGGCATAAGACCCTGACTCTCCCCCAACAGAGCTGGCCTTGGAGGCTTGCCCCTGCCCGCGACTTTGGCACCTGAACTTGGCCAGGCTCTGCCCTCACCTGCCTCCTCGGAAGGAAGGAGATACCTGTCCACACCATCCCTGCCTCCCTCTGACAATCCACTTTTGTTTGCCTCCCTCCCTCCGGCCCCGTTTCCTGACCCCTCCCTCTAGCTCCCTGGCCCATGACTACCCACTACCCAGAGGCACCCCAGACCCAGGGGTCCATTTGCCCTACGTTTCCCAATCCCCAGTGGGGACCTCGGGCCAGCAGCCAGGCCCCATTCATACCCGGTCACTTCCCACCTCCTGGTTATTTCCATCTGAGGCTGAGTTTTACGTAAGAGAATACATCTGCCATGCAAATGAGCACGGGCCTCAAGGTGGCCAGAGGGAGACTGGGAGGAGCAACAGAAGCCTCACTCCTATTTTGGGTCTAAAGTCCCAGCTCTCTGCTTCCATGACTGCTCCCGCTGCCACCACCAACTCCTTCCTGGGGCCACCGATGGAAGTAGGGCTCTCGGCCTTTCCAGTCCTACTTTGTCACTGAAGTTTCTCTTTTCTGGGTCCTCCATCAGCTTCACTCCCAGCTCACCCCCTGAGATCCCTCCGTGGAACCCCCGAGGACCCATCCCTCATCTCTGCACCCTAATTCCTAATTTCTCCATCACTCAGAGCACAACAGAGGGGCTTCCGTCGGGGCCTGAGGGGGTCAGACCCAGACCACACGCTCAGAGGCCAGGCAGGCAGAGAGGAGACGCTGAGCCCACCCTGGAGGAAGAGTCGGCAGGAGCAAGCCCCTGAGCCAGAGCCTGCGCTCCCCTGCCCCTCGGCACAGCGCACCTCTCTGAGCACAGAGCAGCCGGGCCACTGCCCTGGATGCACACCAGGCGTCCTGTCACTGTGCTCCTGGATATTGCAAAGGGAGGCCAGGTAGAGTGGAGGTTTTTCGTTTTGTGTTTTTTTTTTTTTTTTTCCAAGCCGAGAGAAACAGCCCATAAGACTAAACCAAGTCCCTGGTCCCCAGCTGGCCTCTCAGCCCACCCTAAGGAAGGCTTATAGGGCCTCTGCTGGTGAGGCAACTCTGTGGCTCCCTATTTCCAGCAGATATTGGGCCTCTCATCCATTGATGGGGACAGGAGAGGGAGGGAGGACAGGCACATCCAGGAGAGGATGCCAGAAAATAAACATGAGCAGGGAGGGAGCCTGAGGTTGGTCAAAAGACCACCTGATGGCCCCACAGCAGGTCTGATGGCAGAGTCCAGAACCATAAACCCAGGAGCCCATGTTTCTCTTAGTCATGGGCTTTACTGCCCCCTGTGTCTTGTTGGGGACCAGCAGGAGCCAGGGAGGAACAAAGCCCTGTGCTTCTCCCTATAATAGTCCCTGTGCTCGTGGAATCATCAAAACCCATGACTAGATGGGATAAACTGGTTTAGAAGCCTCTGGTAGAACCACCAGCATCCTCAGCACACGTGCTCCCCCCACCCCCACCTGCCCCACACTGTTGAAGAGTGGGCAGTGCGCACTGGATGATGGGAGGTTGGCCTTGCCCCGTAGGGTCTCCAAGGCCAGGACAGCTGAGTCCTCCCAGGTGGGCCTCTGGGACGCCCCTACCTGGTAGCTGCCCAGCTGTCCCCAGATGGCTCCCAGGAGTGGGAAATACCACCATCTGACTATTCAGATGCTACCTGTTTCCAAAGAAAAATTTGACACAGCTGTTCATCCTCATGATTCACCCACACCCATTTCTCTGTAGTTTCCAGTTCCCCTCCATGGGGACACACTGCAAACGTCAAATCCCACTTCCTCATGACTGCCCTCTCTTACTTGAGGGCAACAGTTTGGTGAGCCCAGGAGCCTGCCCTCTTCCACTTGAACACACCTACTTCCTTCACTTGCTCCTGGTGTGAGGTGATTTCAAGTCCCCTCACCTCCATGGATTTCTCCAAGACAAGCCCCACAGACTCTGTGGCCCTCCTGAAGTGTTGGCTCAGAGACAGGGCTCCCCATCCATATTTACATGGGCTCTCCCTTCCGGTAAGACCTACCAGTTATTCACTGGAACTACCCATTGGGCTGCTCCTATTTCCACAGAACTGGAGCAGTTGCAGACAGACCAATAGGCCAGCCATGCTGATGGCCATGGGGGACCTAAGCCCCCCAGAGGCAAACATGAGCCCACCTGCACACAGCTGGAGCCAAACATTCACAGAACAAGTGAGGATGAACCAGAAGCCTACTACATTGAACATGAGACTCCCACATTCAGACAGGAATGCCTTTACTCCCCTCTGATCCATCTGAGAAGGCTTTCTGGAGGAGGGAGTGAGATTCCAGAAGGTTCTAGAAAGATGGGCAGTAAGACAGCCTGGCATTCTGGGGCTGTCACAGGGAGCTTGATAGGCAGGGAAGGGAAGGACCATTCAGAACAGTGAGTGTTGAGTGGTCTGTGGAATGGACTTTGAGATCAGATAGTCAAGAGATCACAGCTCTTCCAGGTATTACCTCTATGTCTTTGGGCAAGTTACTTCCTCTCCTAGCACCCCAGCTTCCTCATCCATAAAATGGGGATAATTGTTCCTTCAAATAAAGTATGTATGTCCATTCAGTGAGAAAG